AGATTGAAAGCAGATACCTTTAAAGTACTGAAATACTGCCATTGTGAATGTTTCTGAACAATTTGTACTCATTTAGGTTACTTTTGTAGCACTTTTTCAGCATGCCAGGATTTTGAAATTTGTTCTACTGTGTACGCTCAAACAGATTTTCCTAAGACGGCACAAAGAAAACTTATAAATCTTAAGAAAAGTAAAGATCCTAATAAAATAGATGTCTTTCTACTAGTAAATACATCTAAAAAAAATGTTGCAGTAAAAGAAAAAAGGATTTTATTGATAAAAGGATACAGGAATTTTAGAGAATATGCAATGAGGTACAAAAAGATGAATTTCCTGAAATTAATTGTAAGGACAGACTGAAAGAATCTGCTGGAGGATTTTCTCCAGAAAATAATTTTGGCTCCAGAGACACTATTGCTCTTAATGTACAGAATATAAAACTATGAAGATTTCACTCAAGCCATTGTGAGTATACGGGTAGGTATGCAAAACAAACAGACAAGCGTAGATGAACTCCATGGTCAAATGTACGAGGTTCTGCCCTCTAAAAGCAAAACATGTTTCCCAATTAGACGTACATTTGGGATTTTGAAAAGACACTATTTAATGAGAGTGCTTGGAAAATGGCCCTGGTAGTCATTTGATTACTAGTTACAGATACTGTAATGAGTGTTTTCCCCAGAATTTTAATGTGTATGAATGAGGTTGATTGTAGTTCAAATTCACTTCAGCGAGAATGTCTCACAGAACTGAAAATGTGCTGTAGATATGATTTTGTTTTTTAAAAATAGTGACATACGGAACACACGACTAAGTCAATCTGCAGAGGTGGTTATGTGAAGAACTTTGGAAACTGTGCTTGTGCCACATGAAAGATAAGCTGCCTTCAGACTAAATACATCCTGCAGTTAAATCTCTCTCTCTGCACCCCCGATGCCACAAACTAAATGGGAGCCTGCTCCCTAAGCAGGAAAGACATTTCTAACTGAGGTATCTTTTATCCAGGTAACCTAAGTGCCCTAAAAACACAAAGAATAATAATAATAATTGCTTACACTTACTGTATATAGCGCTTTTCTGGACACTCAACTCAAAAAGCTTTACAGGTAATGGGTATCTCCTTCCCCACCACAAGTGTGCAGCCCCACCTGGATGATGCGATTGCAGACATAAGAAAATAATTACTACAACAACTAATGTTTTGTGTCTGATAATGACCCTTGAGTGTGCTTTTATTGCTTACTTATCAAATAGTTCAATTCATTTTGCTCATTGACAGTAATGAATGATGGCTGAGAAGGGGCTATGGTGGTAAATAAATGGTTACAGAATTAAAAAAGGGTCTTGTTCTGTTTATATTCTGGCCTCTTTTGATTGGGTTGTGTTTAGATAAATTGAACCCGGCCCAGCAAAGCTTGTTTTCTGAAAAAGAGAATTGCAATTAAAAGAAACCAGGTGTATTTGTGTTCTTAGAATACAGAGCACAAAAATCCAGGCCTGAGAAGCTTGAGATAACCTAAATACAATGAGATATTTAAAGTACTTTTTAAGACTTTCTTATCAAACACAAGCAAAATCCTACTTAATTCCTCTAATATTAGGGAATTTAAATATTTTGTTTAAAATAAACAGAGGAGTAAATGTTCCTTTACCATTTGCTTAGTATCTCTAGTTCTTTCCACGCATAACAGCAGTAGAACACACCTTATGAGCTGCATGGACTCTCCAGCCAAAAGACAAAATCTTTTTTTTTAAATACCCATTTTATGCAGTATTAAATCTCTACAATTGCTATTCACAATATTCTTGAATTATGAGAAACCTAAATCCTACTCCAGAGCTTAAATTCTCAAAGGACAATGTTCCTTCTGGAGCATCACTAAAGAAAACTGCCTGTTAGTGTACTGTATAGCCTTGAGATTTCCCTGTGATTTTTGAATCGCAGGAGTTAATGGATTCACCTTCGGGTTTTTGAAAGTATGTCTTTTGATGAATTATTTCCTGATCAGCTAAGGTGTACGTTGTCCTCAACGTCTGTTCCACCTGGAAAACATTTTCTTTTTTTTTTTTCTAAGACAAGGAATCTGTTAATTTTGCTGCAGTCCAGGGGATCTTGAGACTGACAAGACTGTCAATATTTAAAGATCTCATGACACCAATAGTTTGGGACGTTAGGAAGTAAGGAAAATGAAAAACAAGGTAATTTAAAGCTGTCTCTGCCTTCTTTCCTTAAGTATTACCCCAGCAGGATACCCAATGGAACAGAAAAAGGCCCAGATTTGCTATTGATGTCTATAAATGTGTCCCTGATCTTGAAACCCATAAAACCTAATTTATGTGAAAGTTATGTGAAAAATGTGAAAACTATATCACATAGTGCATGGAAATGTCTTGAATGGAGTATTTCTGTTTGTTTTTGTTTTTTTGTGCTACATGCAGAAACAGTTTGCGGATCTCAAATAAAATTAAGTAAAATAAAAATAAGTTATGAAATGCCAATAACAAGACAAAATATTAACCAAAATAACATAAAGACTTGCCTGCTTTTGAACTCAGATGCTGTACAAACAGCTCACTTTATTAACATGAGAGGAAACCATGTGCAATGTCCTATTTCTTTTTATCAAGTATCTTATTTGTCATTATCATTTTTTTAGGAATTCAAGTTCTCTGAAAACTCCGACCCTGAAACACACACCCAATGGTCTTAGCAAAGAGCAAAACACCAAGTCCTCTGTTCAACAGCAATATCTAACTCATGACGTCTCTAATGAAGGTATGGCAGTTGTACAGTACCTCCTTCCTTTGATTAAAGACAGGTAGCATTTGACAGGCATTGAGTTTTTGCATTTGGGGGCCATTAATCAGAGAAAGGACTGATGGCATCAGTTAAGCCTCTTTTCTTTGCCGTTACCATGGTACTCTGATTTCTCATATTATAAGACAGAATGTTCTATGAATTACAAACACAGTGTCGGTTCCGTCCAGTGTCATAGACCATTATGAATACCCAGTGAGAAAAACCTCAGTGTAAAAACTTAAATCTCAAGGCCGGTATATTACTTTGGCACTTCAGGATAAACAGTTCTACCACTGCAGAAAGCACTTCACTCAGCAGATGTCTAACCTTGTCTCCAGCATGTGCTTTGAATCTAATTAATAACTGTCTGACCTGGGGGGTAGTGGTTCCAGTCATAAAATGGCTCCTGAGTCTCATGGTCTTCAATTGACGTCATGGCTGAGATGCTTGTTTTCTTGGTACCATGTGAACAGTTCTTTAAACAGCAGTTTAATGAAAGGCAAGCCCCATTAAAACGGCAGGATACCTGTTATTTAGAGGCCATAATAGGAGACACTGAAAAACATTTCATGTTAAAGAGCAGGCTTGGCATTTATAAAGTCCCATTTTACAGCTGCATTCCTCATTCCTATAGTATCCTTTCCGTGCTAGTGGCTTATATCAGATTAAAATACCGCACGGCCTCTGGAAGAGTTAATCTTTACAAGTTAATTCAGCCATCCATTATTTCTTTTAATATCACTAGATGCACTTGCTGAGTGAGTACCTAGCATCTTCTCTTAACTAAAAGTGTTGCTTTAGATAGATAGAGAACCCGAAAGAGGTTCCAAGTGACTGAACTGTGCTGCGCAAACAGTTCAGATAGTAACTGACGGCGAATCTGTCTGAAATGCTTTAAAAAAATAAGGCTTACATTTTCAGGGATGTTAGAAAAGATCCCAAGGTGACAAATTGAACTCTTTGGGCAGCAACCGATAAATCAATGTGATTTACAAGCAAATACGATTTGTCATGGAAACATTTAAGCTCAGAGGCGGGATGTGACCTTGTGTTCAGAAAATTGATTCCAAAGCTCACGATACATTAATGGACATGTCCCACACATGTTGGCACAAGCTACAAAAGTAAGAGTTACAAATGCTCCATCGTTGCTCACAGGCTCCACAATGTGGTGGTCAGCTGTGGAAGCTTTTTTTTTTCAAATATTGCACACTGTAAGAAGCCATGCATGAGCTACAGGGTCCAGTCTGAGGAAAGCACAGACGTCGTCTGCAGTCTGCCGGGCTCTGCTGCTTCCCATCTTCCTTGAAGGAGGATCATTGGTTTGACAGGAGTTAGGCTGAGACATGCCTTTCCTTGCCAAGTTTAAGTTCTTTTAAGAAGTCATTCCTCCAACACAGAAACCCCACTAACCATTCCTTTTGTAATATAAAACAGGCCTTCAGAATAAACAAGGATTTACACTTTTCTTTCTATCTATCACTTCTCCCTCTGGTGATAAATCAAAGCACATGTCTAAGGCAATAATTTCACTGTTATCTTTTGATAAGAGGGTTTCTGTGGAACTATTTGTAAATGAGGGACTTGAGTGCTGGAGGAACAAGCCTTCAAATAAAGACCTGTCAGCGGTGGAGTAGTGTATTAAGCCATGTTATATTACATCAGGATCAATAAGGTTATGTAATCATGTTGTTAGCAGCAAGATGGTCAAGATGTGCCAGTTGGCTTCCAATGGTTTATAAACTTTCTTGGAAAGTTCCATGTCATGTCACAGCAGAGCCTAGTTCCAATTGCAATATCTGTAAACAGCTAGATCTCTACTCAGCTCATGGCATCTCAGACTCACACCTGGTAGAATGTCCTGGGAAGAGACAGCTGTGCCAGGCAAGGAGTGTTAGCACAGGAAAAGCTTAAATGTAACTGTTTAAACTATATGTGAATTCATAAATGGTGTTATCTAACAGGAGATCGGGAGGAGATCAGATTCTAATGTCACACTTCCGGTCCTTTTAATTACACACATTTAAATACTCTTACTCAACCAATGGACCCAACCATCTCTGTTAGTGTTGTTCAACAAAAAGACTAAGGTGCTCA